ATTTGGTTTCATTTCAATGTTGTCATTTTTATTGAAAATCTTGATCTTTCGCTTTTGAAAAAAGTAGGTTGTAGTTTTTGAATGGTGAAAATAATTGCGATAAACACGGCACACTCTATAATCCGATTTTTTTACGATAGTAATTTTTCCTCTCTGTGGAAACTATCTGAACCTAGATCTGAACAATAAATCATTAAAATGATAATGTAAATAGTGATATTCACACATTTAGTACACAAGTCAAAATTTAAAGAACCAATTTATTTTCTCACTGTATTTTGGACTTTTACTAAAGAGTCAAACGGATATGATCCGTATCGGCAGATCGATAGATGGATCTATTCGATACAAAAGATATCTTCATTTATGCCAGCAAGAATGGAAGAATATTCCACGAATACGAATACATGTACGTATCTGCTGGTGTTATCTTTATGAGCCAACGGTTAAATCATTCCATCCATTACTTTTATACTAAATTTTCTTCACACATTTTTTATTTTTTTTATATATTCTTATAAAACAGCTTTTAAAAAATGTCCATATTTATTAAATCGACTTTTGTAGTTTATTATAGCGTATTGGGTATTTTGTTAATTCAAACTCAAGAAGTTCAAGTTTCTCAAACTTGATTTCAAAACTTCAAGTCAAACTTGATTGAAAGAAGCTTAGAAAAGTTCAAAAGCTTAAATTTTATATTCTTTTGTATTGTGATTGAGGTTGTGGTTGCGGGATATGAGAAGCTTCTGCATGAAATCCGAATTTATCAGCCGTACTAATTGAAATGAGAATATTGAAAAACATTAAAGACGGACATTTGCTCAAAATCAAAAAACCAAATATTGATGAAGAAATTCGAATTGAAATTGCCGAAAATCGTTTATTAATTAATTGAAAAGGAATGAAAAACATACTAATTAACTGTGTATTGCATGCCATCATCTGCAACAAACGAATATGAGCCGCTTACTACTTGTGAAGGTTCATCGTTTTCCACAACAAGCTGGGCATGTTCTTCACGTTTTTGTCCATCGGATGTTTCATATCTGTAATAGCGGAGTTTTTTTCAGAAATAGATTTTGATTTTTTTTTTTTTTAAATTGATGTTTTTATGTATTATTTATTGATTTTAATTGAAGCTCTTTTCTTTTTAAATTCGCTTCAAACGTATTTTTTACTCACTGAAAATTGTATGGACCAACGCCCGTGTTGTCGTTTGTGTATTCAAGTATTTGTACTGCGGGCTTTTCTGAGATTTCTGACTGTCTAAATACTGGCCCGGCTGCAGCAAGTGTAATGCAAACAGCAACAAATACAAATGTGGACTTCATTTTTCCCAATTAATTTTGTTTAAGTAAATTTTTGGTTCTTCCTCGACTTTTTGAATAGAAATGGTGAGACCTCTAGAGAATGTCTCTATTTATAAAGAAAAATTGTAAGGGATTAAAAACAAATTCTTAACGAGATCATTGAACTTTCTTCTATTTTGGTAAAATATTGGAAAGCATCAAAGTCGTAATTTGCTTTTTATGATTCTGTGCAAATTAAAAGACAAACGAAATGTTCTCAGTGTTTGATTGAAGCATAAAAATTGTGACACTTTCAAAAAAAAGATGCAGTACATATTTTGTTAGAATTTTTATTTAGTAAAAAAAATCAAATAAAACATTCTGTAAGAAAAACGAAATAGGATTGTAACTTGAATAGTCTATCAAATTTTTGATATTCTTATTAATATATTGACATTTGATACTTAGACATTTGTTTTGAATTTATATAACAAAAAAAAAGAAGGTCAAACTTTTTCTCTCAGGTTATCAACCAGAATTTAAAGAAAAAAATACCGATTTCCATTTCAGTCAATGCGCCGAAAAAACGGGTTTTTAATCAAACTATTATGCATAAACATGACGCTTGGCGAAAACATGAACATTGGAAGATGCAAAATAAAAAAATGCTTATCACTTAGCATATCTGTCTATCCGCATTGATGAGATACAGACCAATTCATGTTTTTTTTTTTTATTGATTTGGATCGAATCATACTTTGAATAGAAGTATTTGCGAACTGTTTTCGCACAATCTTTTACATCTTATCTATAGACATACGATCTTCAAATCGCATCATATAAGTTGATGAATATAAACTGTATGAAGCCATATCAAAATATTGAATTTCATTTCGTTTTTTTTCTCTATCATTTAGACGGAATAAATTAAGTTTGATTTGAATGAGAGGGTATAGCAATACGAAAATATGTTCGGTTTTGAAATGAGTGACCTATCCAAAATATAATGATACTAGCGATTATCATTGGTGACATTCGTTATAATAGTGATAATTGAACAGACGAAAGTAAAATATGTTAACCTTTTCGGCTGACTCAAATCATTGAAATCTAATTTGATTAACAATAACAACAGCTAATTTAAACGAATTCAGATTTTTTTCCGTCAGATACTTCTTCAACCAAAGGGTCTAAATAATTCCGGGGGTTGAAGAGTGGATTTCCCCTTGGATCGCCTACTTCAGAAGCTATGCATTTAAAGTCTCTATATTAATTATGATTACCGTTGGTCGCAAAATTGAATAAATAAAACCGCATTAATAAATATTGATGTATTCACTTTATAAGGAGCTCAATTTTATGACGTTTCTGTTCGTGATGTTATATAACAATTTTTTAGAGAAAAAATCTCTTCAATCTCAACCAATCTAAAACAATTTTCTAGAAATAAACAAATGTCGAGAAAACGACAATTAAGATCGACGAAAAGAATTTTTCATTTACACAATAGAATTCTTGAAATTAAATTGGCAAAGTCATAAAGGTGCAATATACTTAAAACAAATTGTGTTTTATTTTAAAAATCTTTGATATTTGATGGACTTTGCGGATAAAGAAGTTTTGTCGTTTTTTAAAAACAAATTTAAAGTACACAATTTATAAAAAAAATTGATGATCGAGAGAAAAAAAAGAGGCCGACGTTGGATTAAAAAATTACATAATTTTTATTTAAATTACGATTTTTTATGGCAATGTCAAACAGCAGACCGTGAAATGATGACTTATTTTCATCTTTTTTTATGTTGTTAAGCTTTGATCGGAATTTTGATAATATTAAATCAATAATATTCGGTTATGTTGATTTTTTTCATTTTTTTATCCTTCGCAAATGAGATGAATCTTTTTTTTTTTTTAATTTTCTATTCAATTTCGTAGATTATGGCCAGAATTTAAATTATAGATTGAAACATTTCACAACAGCAGGTCT